AATTATCCAAATGAAGTAACTAAAATATCCATACCCTTTGACCCAGATTCCACTGCTAGGCAGATACTCCAAAGAAGTTACTGATGAAAAAAAAGGCTCCATACATGCCCAAAGATTTATAGCAGCAAGTTTTGCAGGTGCCTACTGATCCAGGGAATGGCTCAATGAACTGTTGTACCATGCTGAAAGAAGCAATGAGCATGAAGAAGGCATGGGAAAATTTATGTGAACTGATGCAAAGGGAAGGAAATGGAGCCAGGGAAACAACAGACAGGGATGACTACAAAAGTTTGAATAGAAAAAACCACCACAAAACAATAGTTGTGGAATATCACAAAATGATAAAGGCTGAGCTTGGCCTCGAAGAAGAGATATGAAAAGACAACACTCCCATGTTCCTTTCATACAAGTGGAAGTGGTGGGAGTAGAAGCTGCCTATCAAGTCAGATTTTTTTCCCTGTGCATTGATTGATTTTGCCTTTTTTTTTCTTCCTATTTAAAAAAAGAAAACCCTTATTTTAATAAAGGATTGCTTTCTGAGAGGGGACAGAGAGAGATAAAGGGGGAAGTATAGGCAACATAAAAACTAAAAATATCAATTAAAATCTATTGAAAATATTATAGGACTTATAGAGGCAGTCATGTCATTTTCTGTTAATGCGAGCTAAATAAAAATCATTTTGTTCTGGCAATCACAATGAAGGTGTCTTTGCTAATATATTAGCATTGAAACTGATTCCTCTAAATAATATGGACTTTGTAATGACAACTAAATTAAGAGAGAGAGAGAGTTGTTTTCACAGGTGATAAAATGCTATGACTATTGAATACTTTTGATTACATTAGAGGAAAAACACATTTAAAAACCATCTTTCCTCAGGAGATGAAACATATGCAAATATATCCTAGTCAATTAAAATCCCAGAATGACAACTGAATAAGGAGCTGATGATAGTGGATCTCCATCATCAGAAAAAGAAAACACAAGATGCTTACTAAGAGGGAAAATAGCAATGCCATTGATTCACTTTCTCCTGATTGCATTGTGGGAGGAAATCGTTAATCAGCATCTTCACTTCTGTATCAATGTGAAGGGGAGGAAAGCTGCCTTACTTTGTTAGGTGATGTCACCTCTGGCATTTAAAGCTGGCTGATTGGCTTCAAGATGAATGAATAGGACATGCTGCTCCTGAGAACTGCTGCCCATTTGGGAATGTTTGTGGTGGGAGGGTTTTTACTGTACGATGTCTCTGAATTTTAATGATTTGGGAAGCTGGTGTTCAACTCATGCTACCTTGGAGGATGGTGGCCAAATATCCTTCAACTGTCTGGCATTCTAGAATGCCTAAGAAGTCTTTTATAGAACCAGATCTAGAGCTGGAAGCCACCTGGGAGGCCATTGTGTCCAGCCTTCATTTACAGAGGGAGAAACTGAGGCCCAAAGAGGCCAAGTAATCTAGAAAATGGCAGAGTAGGGATTTGAAACTGGGTGGTGATGGTGCTAATGGGAGATCAGATGGGGCCTTGGAGCTCTCTCTGGGAGCCAAATCCAGACCTGACAACCACAGGGAAGTAATAGGGTCTATAGAGAGAATTTCAGGAAGAGCTAATCGGGAGCATTCTCAGTCTGTTTTGCATTTGAAGGTTTTGTATCTTTAGAAAATGGAAAGTTAAATTTGTAGTTTTGTCATCCGACGTGTGGTTTCTGTGATAAATCAGTAGGCTTGCTAAATGTGGTGCAGGGTTGGCACCTGCCATTCTATGGCTCATGAGTAAAGTACTGCCAGGGGAATTGCAAGTCTGGAAATCTTGAAAAAAAATGGATCAATTTAAGCCCCTGGAGAGTCTCATCTTTGTACTTTCTCATTCTCCTTTTAAATAAGGACCTCTAAGTTCTGATTGTGCCTTGCCTCCCCACCTCTAATATACCACTGATAATCTAATGGTCTCGGGTTGGCTAACTGGTACCTGAAATCCTCTGCCAAAGCTCACTTGATGACTTGGTGCTGCTCTATCTCCTTCCTACATGCCTCTCTCACCCAAGTACTGGGGTCTTTGCCTTAGAATTTTTTCTTGGTTATAATTGGCAAGCTCATCTGGCTTGGTTCTTCTACTCCCTAAATCCTCTTAAAGACCTCTTAAACGTTCTCATGCTTTAGTCCATCATTTTCCATTTTTTAGGTATAGACCTTCTTTTACATTTAGTGATTTTCTGTTTGTTGTTGTTGCTGTTTGAGACTATTTTGGGTCCATCATCCTCACTTCTTCCATCTTCTTTCCCATTTTCTCATAATCTGCTCTTTTAATATTTTTGAAGATTTTTTTTCTTGTTAACTGAATACTTTCTTCCCAAAAGTTAACACAGACTGGGAGAAGTGGAAGCTTTCCATCCCTGTTGGTTTCTTTTGATTTTTAAAAAATCAACACAAAAATATTAAGGCAGGTTGCATTGATCTTAGATGGTCTTGTTCTCCTAGGGCGCATCAGTGAGCTGCTCTCTGTTTACCCTCTTGCCCTCTGCAAGAAAGGTTCCTATCAGTGACATGACATACCTTTGTAGGAAGAGACTGTATTGTTCTCTTCACGTTTTCTTGTATTGACTCCTCTGTGAATGTTGGCTACACTTGTCTGGTGAAATGTAAGCTGCTTGTGGGCAGGCACTGCCTTCTGTTAGCACATAGCACATGCCTTTTGTACAAGAGCATCATCAATGCCTGTTGAATGGAATAGAACACGGGAGAGAACTAGAACCAGAAATTGCTCATCCAGCCTCTCCATTTTCTAATGTTGACTTTCTCTCATTTACAAATCTCCTTCTGCAACTTCTGCCCCCAGAGAATATGCTTAGAATCTCCTGGTTCCATCCCATCGATTTTTAACATCTCTAGTGCTGAGGTTTCCCATTGTCTCCCCTTTTCTATGGTGTTGAGCTTTATTCTGTTGACTTGAATTCTAGCTTTCCTGATGCACTCAGGTATTTTAAACACATGTCCACTGTGTTCCTTGTTATAGCCACAGAAGCTATAATGAGGCTGTAACAGTCTGTGTGGAACCACCCCCAGCCATTTCCCTGTCTTGCGTCTCTCACATTTTAGGGGTATTTTGGGTCCTCATCGAGCCCAAGTCCATGCCGCCATGGCTGATGTGGCCAGTTTTGCTTCATCTCACTTGTCTGCTAAATTTCTTTAACCATCTGTTGAGTGGAGTTTCTGGTTGTGTTAATATAGAGTGTACACATGTATTTTAGTAGTGTATTGGCTTTAAATAGTCTTCAGGGAATTGTGATTAGTCCAGTCTACAGCTTTTTCTTGTGTCACAGGAGATTGGTGCACATGTTGGTATACTTGTCTAATGCAAGGTCCCCAGGTGAAAGACATTGGAGGGCCCACTTCTGGGAGGGTTGTGATGACCTATACAGGAAGACCCTTGGAGAGGCTGGGGCATGTGTAAACATCTATAATTGGTTCTCTTCCTCCACCAACCATGTGGTTAAGAAGGGGATTTTCAAATGGCTCCACACTGGGAATTGGCAGCCCTTCAGAAAGGCACCGGTAGCCAGAGCCTTGGACGTTTTCTCTTCACCTGCATTTTTAGCAATTCTGCTTTGGTATGACTCCTCAGCTTTGGTGAGCAATCACTCTAGAAGGGGAGAAGTTTTGGTTCCTCCCACTGAGGCCAAAATATGACCCCATGAAATGTCCTTGGCCTCCGCCTTTGTTCTTATCTATTTGAGGTGAATGGATTGGAGACTCCAACCTTTTGAGTTTTGAAAGGTCAGAAGCAAGGAATGACCCTTGGGAGCCAGCCAGTGGTAGCTAAGAACTCCTCTGGTCATGGTGTATCTCGAGGTGAGCATGGTGGGTCCAGTGCCACAAGCCTACTCTGCCCAGAAATTGAGGTAGTGTAGGGACATGAGTGTTGGGTGGAATGTTTGGATGCCAAGAATTAAATTGGAATTGGGGGCTACTTCCTGACACCTAACAGAGACTGTGGGGCAGCCCACTGGAGAGAGAGAGAGAGGGCTGGGCCTGGAGTCAGAAAGACCTGAATTCAGATCCAATATCAGATACTTATGAGCTGTGTGACCCTAGGCAAATCACTTCACCTGTCTGCCTCAGTTTCCTCAACTGAAAAGTAGGGATCATCACAGCATCTGCTTTTCAGGCTTGCTATGAGGATAAAGTGAGAGAATAATTGTAAAACACTTAGCCTGTAGTGGCCCCATCTGTCTGCCATTTTTTGCTGCTGTACACCTGCCCTATACTCACCCTAGATAACCCTGATCTAGGCCTAGAAAGCAAGAGAAGCTTTGATCCAAAGGTCAAGGCTAGGCTCCGGCAAACTTCCAACATTATTTGTCATCTGCAGGCCTCCTCCCTTTCCTTGTATGACATAGTGCGAGTAAGACAACCTGACAAGTTGTTAGTGACTGTATTTACTCTGTTAGGAACACGCATATCTATGTTAAGAGGACTGCTAGGAAGAACAAGGTTTCATCCAAAGGAATGAATCTGGAATGGTGGAATTTGGGGTACGGTGGTACTTGGAGGAGGGGAGAGATTTTCTAGCCGACTTTCTTTTTCGCACCCTCCAAATCATATTACATACAGTCCATTTACTAGATACTACGTAAACAGGGTAGCCAGGGGCCACCATAGTGCACACTGCGCCAGGCCTGGAATCAGGAAGACTCATCTTCCCAAGTTCAAATCACACCTCAGATATTTACTAGGTCTAGGACCCAGGGCAAGACACGAAATCCCTGCTTCAGTTTCCTCATTTGTAAAATGGAAATGAGTAACAGCACCTGCCTCATAGGGTTGTTATAAGGACCAAATTAGATAATTTATTATTATCATACTCTTGTATACATGTAGATTCCTAGCTCAATCAAGAATTAGCCAACAACATTAATGAGTAACTAAGGCTGATGAACTGAGGACAAATTAAAGACACAATGAATTTAATATTCATGTTTATTCGTGTATTTAAATATTTAAACACATTTAATAGCACAATGAACTGAGGACAATTGGATCTGATTGTCACTATTACAAGGCACTCATAGCAATTGTTTCTTTTAATATTCAAAGGCTTATTAAAGATTTTATCTTATGTTACTAAATATATTTCCAAGTTCATAAAAGCAAAATCCTTTTTTTTTGTTTTTTACTAAATAGTCATGATTTTAAAAAGGCTAAAAAAGCTGAAGTTTGTTTAAAAAAAAAGCCCAGGAAAATTATACTAATAATTAGAAAATGATGTTCTTGTTGGAAAATGTTTGGCATAATTACATAGAAATTTATTTTCAATAAAGAAGGAGAATACCTAAGCCATCTTAACGAAGTCAATCTTCCTCATTCCGTATTCTTCCAAGCATCGTTCCATTCAATCAACACTGTTGAAGCATTTACTATGAGAAGTATTTTTCTAGGTGATTTCTACAGGGGAAGAATGTCATGCGGACAAGACGTCCCAGTGCTTCCTGAGACCCACGATTTCCCAGCCGATAAAGTCCATCAGACGCAGAGAACCTTCTCCGAATCAGTGGAGTACAGTGGCAAGGTCCTGGACCAGGTCTCAGAAGGCACGGCTCGAACCTCAGCTCTGCCACTGAACCCCTGGACCTCCCTCTCCTCACCTGTACCAGGAGAAGCTCGGACTCCCCAGCCTCCAGAGTCCCTTTATGACCCCACGATCCCATAGCTCGTCCGCCCTCAGCTTCCGCCTTCGAAAAACTCCACGGTCCCTTTGTGCTCTAACCCAATGATCCAACAATGTCCCTATTAAAGTCTGGATGGCGTCCTTCCCGCCATCGGTGGAAGAAGTCCTGGCTTATAAATGGAATACCACAAATACAAGTGACTCATTCGGTGCCCGAGGTGGGGAGCCTTACAAACTTGTCTCTGACCAGGACTTCTCCTCCCACAAACGCGCTGTCTTTACCATTTGCTCGCATCCCATCCCAGGAACCAGCCCGTGAACGTGGGAGGCTCGTATCCCTGCTTGACGATGACGACGGGAGTTCCCCGGTCTCTCCCAGAAGGATCCGTCTCAAGGTAGGCCTTGGCTATAAAGAGAGTAGCCAGCAGCGTCAAGGTTGGTCAGTTGTGACTTAATTGGACAACAACAATATCCTCAAAGGGGAACGCTGCCATCCAGCATGGGCAATGTGTGATCCTAAGGGAGTGACACTGTAGGGTCTTTCCTCCCTTGGAGGACCAGGGTCGCAGAATGGAAGCAGCGCATAGCATGCTTTGGTGGGGACATCACTGTCTCATGTTTTTCTGAGACCTTGGAAGAACCCCCTCGTTTTGGCTCTGGAGCACACACACACAATGCCAGCCTTTCAGTCAATAAACACTTATTAAGTGCCTACTCTGTGCTAGGCACTGTGCTAAGAGCATTTCTCAGACGGGAGAAAAGTGTGAGGTTCAAGAATGACACAGCTGTCACCTATTCACAGGCCTCCGGGCTGGCCAGAGCCTTAAGAAACCCCTGTGTCCAGCCCCCAGTCTGGCAGGCAAGGAAATCTAAGACGTGGTTGGAGGAACTGGGGAGGGGGTGGTGTGTTTAGTCTGAAGCAGAGATTTGGGGATGGGAGGAGGGGGGCTGTGATCACCGACTTCAAGAGTCTGAACGATGGGTCGACAGGTGGAAGAGGGAGGGAGAGCCTGGAGCGGTGTGACCCAAAAGGAGGAACCAGGAACAAGGAGGAAGGGGCTGCCCACTCCCTAGGCCATGAGCTCACCAGACTTCAAGGACTCAGATCGCTCCACTTCATTCGCGTCCTTGCCGATCCAAAGGAATATCTAAGCGGACACAAAGAAGGAATATCTAAGCTCATGTCACACTCTCTCACTGTGGGGAAGGACCTCTGAAATCGGAATCTTCCGTCTCTGTGCCGTGGTGCGGGCTGGCCAGCCTGGAGGCCGAGGCCCCAGATTCTGAGAGAAGGCCGTGAAATCCCCCTGCCCGGATGGCTAATTTAGCCCAGTGAAGCCTAAGGGCATCCCGAGCCTTGCAGAAAAGCCTGAAACTTTTGCCCTGTTGGGAGCAGGAGAAGCTTCCAAGCGTCTGACCCAGCTGAAGGGGTATTGGGAGGTCTGTCACCATCACTAGTGCACGTTGGCACGTTCTCTCCAACTGAGGATCTTAATGGGATGCTTGGGGTGCAGAAAGAGACTTGTCCAGGGTCACACAACCAGTATGTTTCAGAAATGGGACTTGAACCCAGGTCTTCTAGTTCCCAAGACCAGCTCTGTCCGTTGCCCTGCGCCCCCTCTTCTTCTGCCCTCTACTGCTGGTCTACTGGAAGGGTCAGCAGGCTTTCACCCTTTGCGTACCAAGCTTGAGGCTTTAAGTATCACTTACAAATTTAACTTCCTGGCTCATCCAGGGGGTGAGTGTTCCCTACCACCATCCTATCCGGAGTCCCAGGCTGAGGCAGCCCACGGGTGCTTATGGGCAAACAACCAGGATCTTTAAACCAAAGCCTGAGTGTCCAAATGAGGGGAGACCCGTGGGGGGTGGGGAGAGCAAAGCCAGACAAACCAACCAGGGCAGTAACGCTCAGGGTGCCTGGGGAGTTCTTCCCCTAGCCTTGGGCTCCCCAGAGCTGCCAGTCCTGGCCTGAGCAGGAAAGGCCATGGATGATGAGGGTGGTGATGGGCAGCCCCAGTTACTTCCTCTGCTTATAAGCAGTCAACATGTCACTGAATATCAGAGGCTGCTGCCCACAGGGTCCACCATGGGCTAGAGGGTGCTGAAGAAAAACAAGGTATAAAGGCAGCCCCTAAGGGCACATCCGGAGACATTTGTCTGGACGCCGAGGCAGAGCCACGGCTGCTCTGCTCCCGCATTAAGCCACTTTCTTTACACAGACACCTGAGAATTGCTGGTGGGCGAACTCGTGTTTGGTGCCACGTCCACCTGTTATGAGATAAGGTTTTCTCAACGCTGTCTTTGCAGGTGTGAGCATGGGAAAGGTCAACAACAGAGCCACACCCTTACCTGTTCCCAAGCATCCAGCAGCATGACGTCGTCCTCTGCTAAGTCTTCCTGAGTGAATTCTCCTGGAACCTCTTCAATCTGAAACACACCGGCAACTTTTTCTGTAATTCTTCATTTCGCCCCCTTGATTCAACAAATAATATTGAGTAAGCATATCCAGGCCACTGTGATGGGAACTGGGGATGCAAAGGAAGCCAGGCTTACCCTCAGGAGGCTTATTATTATTATCATTATTGTTATTGCTGCTGCTGTTACTGTTACTATTAATTTTAGTAACAGCCACATCTCGATAGCGCTTTAAGTTTTCAAAGTCATCTCCACACAATGGCTCCGGGGTGGGGGGAGTCCACACATTGTCACCCCCATTTCATACAGCAGTCTAATTCCAACAAGAGCTTGTCAGGCTCCCTCGAGAGCAGGGGACGCACCAGGGTGCATCCAACTGACTCTTCCCTTCACTGAAATGACCATGGTAAGAAAGTCTACTGAACAGAACACCAAGGAAAGCCCGACCGCTAGAAGACGTCCGTCCCTGTGCATTTGAATCTGCAGAATGAAGAGCGCTTCATTCGAGAGAAAACTCAACGTGAAGAGCGTCGGCTGCTCGGCCTCCGGGCCGGCTCTCCGGGCCGGCCAGCACCTGGACGCGGCCCTCAGCTTCACCCCCTAGACTACTCATGAGCTTCAAAGGGAGCGGCAGCATCAGTGTTAGGATCTCACTGATCAGTGGGCCCGGGAAAGGGGAGCAGCTCTAGAACCAGCAACCCCAGAGCCCTGGGCCAGCACGGACCTGCACTCTCCACGCCATACCATACGGGCCAGGAAGCCCAGAGCCGGGACATACTCACAAGAAACCGGCCGGTTTTGTTGGAGCAGCCAAAGAGCCGAGGAGGGTGGTCTTCCGCCTGGGTTTCCAGCAGTGGTGAAGTCTGGTATGCTTTCTTCCCTCCCAGAGCAGCCCAGAATTCCTCTGTGGAACAATACAGGGACAGGCTTGAAGGGATCCCTGCAACACCGGGCAGCCATTGCTTCCTGTCCCCATGCTTTCTGTTGCCCCCGCCTTTAACGGCTTTGAATGAGTAAACGCAACAGAGCCCCATCCCCTAATTTCTTCGGGGAGTGAAGCCCGAGCTGCGCCCCCCCCAGGCCCAGGAGCTGCCAACGTGTGTCTCTGGTGGTGGGGCACACACCTGGCTCTTGGCCTTCTGGGATCTTTGTGCTCTGGCACTTCAAGACGCTCTTCAGGTACTCGGCTCCCTTCTCCTCCTCCTCACTGGCTCCTTTCCCAATCCAGGTGTAGCCATTATTCCGGGGCAGTTTCAGGACAAAAACATCATTGGAATTCAATGAATCTGAGTCCACATCGACCTGGGATCAGAAGGAGATGGTAGCCAGTGACTGGAGTCGTATTGCCCCTCAATAGCCAGAAGCTGGCAAGGCACAAGCTCCCTGAGCCCCAGCCACCTCACCTCTAAAATGGGGACGACGATACCTGTCCAGCCTACTGCCCAGGATGACTGAGAGCTCCACCAAGATCATCAGATGCTGGACACTGTTGAGTCTATTGGTGTTGGTATCCTGATTACTATCACCCTCTTCTCCCCCATTGGCTGACCCCGAGTGCTTCCACAATGCCCTTCATCTCCATCCCCTGGACTTGAGGTACCCGCCTCCCCTTACACTGCACTGGGCCTCTCTAGGTCAAGCATCTGTCTATCCTTCTCCCTCCCCCAACCCTGACATCCTCAGCTCCCAAGACTGCCAGCTGCCCCCACCCCTACCCCAGTCTTTCTGCTTTTCCACCAAGTCCCTCCACTACTACTCATAGGCCACGCCCATCCTTACTCATCACCTCTGCTCAGAATTCCCATGATGGCCAGGGCTTTCCATTCCTACTGGAGGCCTCACCTCCTCCTCCTCCTCCTCCCATTAACTCAATGGGAAGTTAGAACACTGCTCCTTTGCTATCCCCCTCTCCTCTTCCTAGGATCATTTCAAGCCTACACATTCAGGACTATCCCTTGGATTGGGTCATCTCCGGGCCTTCTCTCCACTCAAACTGGCCCATGAGTTGTGATTTTGTCCATGGGGCCCAGGGGCTTGCGTCAGATACATCAGGCTGTCAACAACTGTTTGTGCATTTGGCTGTTGACACCTCAGGGATACCTGAACAGAAGGGGTGGGGTAGCCTCTGTGGAGATGGGAGAGCCCAGGCACCTGTGACAGAAGAGCCCTGGGGCTGATAATCAATCAACTGATAAGTGTTTCTTATGGGCCTGCTAGCTTCCAGGAAACATGTGGGGGCCATGGGCAGAAAGACAAAAGGTGGCTGTGCCCTGACCGCTGGGAGCTGATATTCTTCTGTGTAAATACAGTAAGTTTACAAATAAGCAAGCACAGGCCTAATAAGAAATGAAAACACAATGAGAGTGTGTGTGTGTGTGTGTGTGTGTGTGTGTGTGTGAGTGTGAGAGAGAGAGAGAGAAGGGAGGGAGGGAGGGAGGGAGAGAGAGAGTAGGGGTGGAGGGAGAACCTGTGAGCAAGCTGAAGGAAGCCAGAGTCTGGAGATAGACTCACGTGGGGTGAGTCTATGCAAAGGCAGGAAGGGGCAGACGGAATGTCACAGGACATTAGGGAAGAGCAGAAAAGGCCAGTCTGCCAGGGAGCTGGGTTTTCATCTTAAGGCAATGGAGAGCCTCCAATGAGACAAAAACACCTGTTTGTCCAGAGCTTCCCAGAACTCACAGACACACCAGGGTAAATCCAAGGAATCTCTGCCCTGCCCAGCCTCGGGCCTCCATCCTTCCCTAACAGAGCAGGTCACCTTTTATAAAATGAATCAAGGCATGGGACAGGGGCTTCACTCTGGAATCCCCCCATGGGGTAGGCTCCCCACGCCCAGATGGAATTCTTCCCTGTCTCGAAGACACTTAGGGTGGGGAGGAGGGTTGTACTTCCCGCTTAACTAACCACCTCTGGTTATGGGAAAGGAGCTACCAGAGAATGGATAAGATAACCCTGCTGGGTGGAGGATGGGCTTGGGTGAGGCACTTTGGACTGCAAGGATTGTGGGAGACTGGGTGGGATCAGCACAGGGCCCTGGTGAGGCAGACTCAGTTCAACTACAGGGAGAGGGGCCAGCTGCCCCAAACACAAGGAGCAGTTCAAAACCCTTAACCTCCAGCTGCCCGGTGGTTTTCCCAACAACCACGTGAGGTAAATGAGGCATTCTATCAACCAAGAACCTGGGTCCAGGAATGGCAGGGGGTGGGTAAAGTGCCTTGCCCAGCATCCTCCGGGGGTACCAAGACTGGCATCCCAGTTTCCTGATGCATCCCCCAGGGAGGCTTCCCCCTTCAGCTTCATGACGCCATGATCAGGGCATGATGTCCCTTCTTTGAGGCCCGAGTCAGAATACAGGCCGAGTCACCTGACCAGGGTGATTTTCCAACGGCTAGCCCTTGTAATAACAAAATAATGATGACAATGGCATTGATAATAACACTAGCTGCTGTTTCCATGACACCTTAAGGCCAGTGAAACACTTGCCATTCATTTTCTCATCTGACCTCACACAACAATCCTAGGACATAGGTGCTACTACAATCACCCCCATTTTACAGGTGAGGAAACTGAGGCTCAGAGATGTGAAGGAACTTCACCCAGCTAGCGAGGATCAGAAGTCAAATTTCAGGGCTGATTCTTCTGAGCATTCAGAACCCACGGGGCCATTCCTCAGATGAGTTACATTTCATACCTCCACAATCCTGGTGATGGAGCCGAGGTTTCGGCGGATTTGAAAGAGGCGTGTGGGGGCGGGAGGTGCCTGTCCTCCTTTCTTAGACGTCCCATCCTTGTAAATAATGAGGGGTTTGTCTTTGAACAGACTCAGCAGGTGTGTGGGCTCCTTACCTTGGGAGACTCGGACCTGGGGAAAGAGAGAACTAGGCAGACGTTGCTTTGAGGATTGAGACCTGTCCAAGATTAGAATGGGCAGCTTTGGAAGTAGTAAGCTCCCCGTGATTGAAGGTCTTATAACAGACTGGATTGGATGATCATTTGTTGGGGATGTTATAGACACAATTCATAATGGGGAGGGGAAGGGGAAGAATGGGGCCAGACGACCTGAGTTCATTTCTATCTCTCTGCCCGATTCCATGAAACCATGAAAACCCCTTAAGGCACAGAAGAGGACCACAGGGAAACCCCGGATTGAGTGTCTATGGTACCAAGCCCCTACGCACAAGGAGTCTGCAGTCTGTTGGGAAGCAGATGCCACATGTTCACAGATAAGCAAATGTACCATGGTGATAAACCAGATGGGTGATTTCCTGGCTCTGGGACACACAGAGCAAGGAAACTCCCTGCCCTACTGCCAGTCAACAACCACTGGGAAACTGATCATCTCAGCGTGGATGGGGGCATTGAGTGACTTGTCCAGAGCCATTTCTTCAGGCTTGTTGGAGGCCAGACCCCATTCCCTCGGCCCTTCCTGGCTGGAGGCCGTCTCTCTATGCCCTGGACCATGCTATCTCTCCAATACAAACTGAGCATAGGGTAATTTTGGAAAGGAGGCTCAGGAAATCAGGGTGGTCTCTCATAGGAGGTGCCCTGTGAACTGAGCCTCTAAGATAGGCCAGCTCAGCTGCTCCTATCCTGATAAAGGACTGTGAGAGGGGTCAGGGCCCCAGCCACGCCAGCACTGATTCCTTTACCAAGAGATTGCCAACTAATGAATTGCCTTCATGGAAGGCTGGCTTCATCTATACAACATTGCAGACTGGGGCGCCATCTAGTGGCTCCAATGAAGATCACACTTAAGATGTGTTTGACCCCAGTCCATCCATAGCTCCATCAACAAACATTTTTCGAAAGGGACGAAGTCTGGATTTAGAAACTCCATCAAGAAGCATTCTGGAGCTCAGTTTATGACTCTTATTTACAAGGGTCGTTCATGTTCCCATTCCCAACACTCGGCCCTCAGCACTGACCAGTAGCTTGGCCGGTAGACTGAATTGACGTTGGTTCCTTGAAAGCAGGGATGGGCTCATTTTTGAATCTAACCCCAGTGCCCTGGAAAGCACTTGGCCTATAGAAATCCAGGCCTTGATAAGTGTTTGTTGAGTGACTGATGTTAAAAACAAACAAACAAACAAACAAACACATGTAAGAATTGGCTGATAGGACAATCAACATTTCAAGTGATAGATGTCACTACTGCTGGTTGTGGCCAGAGTTCAAAACAGCTCAATCTCTCCTTAAGTTCAAATGAGCACATTTAAACATATTCGCTGTAAACAAGGGCATCCCAACTCCCCCACCTTTTGAAGGCCATCTCTTTCTAAAATGCCCACATACTGACTTTATTCTAAGGAAGAACTTAAAAATACTGGACTTCTTTCAGACTGTCAGGAAGTAACTGCAGAGCCAAGCTCCAGGATGAGCAGGCTCGGCCAGAAGGTGGTGGAGGTTCTTTCTGCTGACGGTGCTCAAGGCCAGCGGAGCCCGGTGAAACCTGTTACTGAAGGCCCAGGTTCCTTCCCTCATTTATATCATGGACCACCCATGGCCACCAGCCTGGGGAACCTTATGGAGGCCTTCTCAAGGTCATGTTTTCAAATTCTTAACATAAAATACATAGTGTTTCAAAGGAAAACAGTCAATTGTCAAACAAAAAAAAAGCGTCCAGAGCCCAGGCCAAGAATCTAATTTAAGCCTCATGTGACTCAGTAGTCAAAGTTGTATATACAATAAATACTCATTGGTGTATATCACAAGACTGACACAGTGAAAAGAATGCTGCAAGGAAAATCTCAAGACAGGGAGAGGTCATTAGAATAAATCCTGGTTGTTTCCTAGGGGCTCAACTCTCCTCTATTGCGGGGAAGGAAAGAAGGAAGGGAGGGAGAGAGGGAGGAAAGAAGGAATGGAGAGAGAGAAGATGGAAGAGAAGGAGGAAAGAGGGAGGGAAGGATGGAAGAAAGGAAGAAAGGAAGGAAAGGAAGGAAGGAAGGAAGGAAGGAAGGAAGGAAGGAAAAGAGGGAGAGAGGAAAGGAAGGGAAAGAGAAATGGAGAGAGGAAAGAAAGAAGGAAGGGAGGGAGGAAGGGAGGGAGGGAAGAGAGGGAGGAAAAGAGGGAGAGAGAAAGGGAGGGAGAGAGGAAAGAAGGAAGGAAAGGATGGACAAATGGAGGAAGGAAAGAAGGGAGAGAGAGAGGAAAGAATGAAGGGAGGGAGGAAGGAAAGGAAGGAAAGAAGGAAGGGAGGGAGGGATTGTTCAAGTATAAGATAGAGACAATGTTGCTCCAAGAGGTTTATTTCTCCTTTTTCAGGATATGAGGAGATCAATACAGAGGAAAACCAGGAATCCTTGGGTTTCATTCAGAAAGAGTTTTTAAAGTTGTAGGAAAATGATTTCTGCGCCTATGGGTGAAGGTGGCCTTGGGAGGCAGGAAGCCCCGTCCACGCTGACCAGTGCCGGGGGCTGCCACTGACCTGCACGGGTGTCCCTCCCAAGGAGCGGTCCAGCTGAACAGTCAAGAAAGCAGAGGTGGTCAGCTCATCTCTGGTAGCGTGAGCTCCCTGCCTGCAGAGAGAGAAAGCAGAGATTTCCAAGCCATGTTCCAGGTGTCTTCCTGTTGGGTTCTAGGTTTTCTGCTGCAGCTGTTTCCAGCCAGAGCCTGAGTTGTGGTAGGAGGCAGAGAAGTAAACCATGAACCCACAGGAATGAAATGGTTCCTAGAGGAAGCACTAAAACCCTTCTGAGCCTCAGTTTCCTAGTCTGTAAAATAAAGATAATATTAACATCTTTTATGTAAAGAACGATGCAAATGTTGAATTAGTATGTCCACGCTAGCTAATGTCATGATTAGTTAGCTCACCTTTTCAAAGGCATCCCATTTTCCACTGTTGCCTTTATCAGGGACAGGGCACAGGGTTGAATCTGTGATTTCACTGACCTAGGGAATTCCCAGAGGAGGAGAGTCTCTCTGCAATGTAAGTCGCCACCCCCTCTGTAGTCATAGTTCTACAGAGCTGCCTTGAGCACTGAATGTGAAGGGACCCGCCCAGGGTCACACAGCCAGTGTGGGCCTGTAGGGGACATTGAGGGCAAACCTACAAAAGCAGGCTCATGGCTTCAGATGGTAAATCAAGTGGGACTGTCCGCATTTGTACACCGTGACCCTGCCTTGTGCCAAAAGGAAGACCTCACAGAGAAGGATGTTTCTCTTAACTGACAGAGGACATTCTAAAGATCATGAACGTCGCGGTCTCAGTATGACACACTCCCCGAATCTCCATTAACGGACACGAAGCCCCCCTTCCTTCATTCCGAGAGGTGAAAGCTCCTATGCTGCCCGGGGTCCTCCCATGAGGCGGAAGCCACCCCATCCCCAGGCAGCCCTCTCCACTCGGGTCAGCTTCCTCTCCCCATTGGGAAGCTGCTTCTCCTGCAAAACCTAAATCGGCTTCTTGGCATCTCCTACCCATCCCTCCAAAGCCCACCCTCTAGGGCCAAGAACAAGGCTCAATAGATTTACTTTCAGTATCTAATGACTACCTGCACTTCCTGAATGAAACCCAAGGATTCCTGGTTTTCCTCTGTATTGATCTCCTCATATCCTGAAAAAGGAGAACTGATTTACTCCTCTGCTTGGAGATTACGCCAAGAAATTTAACTGGGTGGCCGCAAGAAAATCCTAAGTTTACAAAACTCTCCTCTTTCCTCCTCTCTATCACAAAGCCCGTTGGAGTACTGAGAAAACCGATCATTTTCAATTCAACAAATAAACAAACATCTCATAAGCACCTACTATGTGCCAGGTGCTTGTGCTAAGCACTAGGGATGCAAAGAAGCACAAGACAGTCCCTGCCCTCGAGGAGCTCCCAGTCTATCGGAGGAGACAATAATCCAACTACAGGATGTACAAACTAGCTGTAAGTGGGATAAACTGGAGATAATCAACGGATAAAAGCAAGGCAGGAGAATGAAGGGTTTTTAAGGCCACTTAAGACATCTATGCGATTTTCTTCTTTTAAGCTCTTTCAAAGGCCTAGAATCCTGAAATTTTCACACACACACACACACACACACACACACACACACACACACACAAAGATGTTTTTATTTTCCGTCTTGAGCTCAGATTTTGTTGTTTTAGGGATGTTCCAAAATAGAAACCCCTTCCATAGATGCCGACTGGCAATTCATTTGTAACTTACTGTCTTTGAGAGTTTGCTGGCACTCTGTGAGATTTAAGTGACTTGCCCAGGGTCACACAACTAGCATGTGTCAGAGGCAGTTTTGAACCTGGCTCCTTTCTCCATCTGCCACAATCACCTCTTCCAACAGTGAGTCAAAAATGAAAAAGACTCGAGTCTAACCTTAGAAACTGGTCCCAGTTGGGTTGCGTGCCCACACTGGACATCACTATACTCCAGTCTGTTTCAAGGGGACTTGGGGGGAGGAAGTGTGACTCGCTCCTCCAGCACCGGCTCTAGGCATCTTCCCTGCCTGCCCCAGAAGAGAGGGAAGAGGAAGGAAGAAGAGATGGAGGAAAGTGGCCGGGAGCCCTGCCTTTAGTGGGGTCCTGACCTCTCCAGAAGCACACCTAACAGCTCAGGCCAGGGAAGGCACAATTCCATCCACAGACCCTGGAGAATACCGCGGGAACCGCCGAGCCGAGGCCAGATCTGGGAACAGGCTCCAACGTGAATCCTGGGGCCGTGACTCCAGGAGGCAGCCAGTTCATGTCTGCCCTGCTTTATCTGGATGGCCTGGCCCCGTCGCCTCTCCCCTGGCTGGGCCCTGCTTTCCTCCTCTCTGAACTGCGGTACTGGATTCGAGGACCTCTGAGGTCCATCCCATCCAGGGACGCATCTTTGCTCCTGCGAGAAGTGAAGAACTTCAGTCATTGGTGGAGGAAGGCACGCTGACCGCACAGGCTGCACCACGATCCTCTTCCTCTCGAAGGCTTGCCCGATGCCCAGCTTAGCATGAGTTCCCTGATCACTGCGGCAGGGGATGCTCCGGTCTCTTTCAGGACCCCCATCTCCACCTCGGAGCTGGCCACGCAGTGTCCTGGGTCACGGAGTCTGAGCCAGGTAACTGAAACAGCTAAAGCCGCCCACTGTGGGATGGAAGCAGGGCACCGGGAAGGCTCCTCGGGGGCCCGTGTAGAACGTCTTTGGCGCCCACTCGCCAAATGCCGCCATGAGAAGCAAGAAGCAGGAAGAACAAGATGTGTCTGTGCATGATGGTGGGGACTCAGGCGGGACCAGATCCAAAGGCACCCCAAACCTGCAGGTTTCCGGCCTTTGTCCTTTGTAGCCCGGGGCCATCAGTGAGCACAAGTGCTCTCTGAGGCTGCTGGGCCTGGTGTTAGGAAGACCTGAATTCAAATTCAAACTCAGACACTGACTAGCTGTGTGACATTGGATAAGTCACATAACCTCTGGTTTCCCCAACTGTAAAATGGGGAAAATAACAGCACCTACCTCATGGGATTGATGTGAAGATAAATGAGATAGTGTTTATGAAGTGATTAGTGTACAGTAGGCACTTAATAAATGCTCATGCCCTTCCTTCCTCTCCCCACCGGCTTCTCTAAAACCAAGGCAGGGTGGGCTCACCTGTCCCACCTGCAGAGGAGTGCTGGGTCCGAGCCTTCTTTACTCTGGCGCATCAGGGTGGACCCAGCTGAGTCACTGCCAGCATCACTGCCTGTCCAGTTTAAAAGGGGGTCAGCAGCTATGCAGGACAAGCCAGGCCCGAATGGACTGCCCAGGGTATCACACATACAAGGAGCCTCAGCCTGTGTAAGAGTCGCTGATGGGAATCCTCCAGAAAACTGACCACAGCGATTATAATGACGGCTCCTATCTATATAGCACCTTAAAGTTCACCAAGAGCGCCACACACCGATCCTTGTATCTCTGAAATAACAACAAACCCCAGGCTTCTAGACTCTGAACGTTGACGGAGTTAAACAACGAGATTACAGACATTCTTTTCACTGTTGGAATAATAATAGCCGCTAGTTATACAGCACCTGATAAATACTACCTCATTGGATCCTTACAACAACCCTGAGAGGTAGGTGCTTTGATTATTCCAATTTTACAAATGTGGAAACGGAGGCAGAGATGATGTGACTTGTGCAGGGCCACTAAGTGTCTGAGTCAGGATTCAAACTCAATCTTTCTGACTCCAGACCCAGCACTCTATCCGCCGCACCACCAGCTGCCTCACAGATCACACTGGTATCCTGCAGGTGGATGCTTCTGGCTCAGACAGCATGATGAAACCCCCACGTGGAAGATGGCGCCCCTCAGTCTTGGGATCAGGGGAATGACAGAAACTTACCAGGTGTAGATGATCTGTCCTCTGGGGTAGGTGTACAGTATAATGTAGCAGTCACCCCCATAGAACTCTCCATAAGTTTTGGGGTCCACTGGGACTCTGCCATTACTTTCCACTCGCCAGATCTGGGGTTGAGGGTTGGGGGGTGGGAGAGGAGGAAAAATACTGACTTTGAAAATCTGGCAATGTGTGTGTGAGCCCCCTTTAATGAATCCTATTGGGCCTGAGGAGCTTCCCGGGAGTTTCCCCGGTGACCAACCCCAAAACGAGTCTCTCCTCCTCCAAACAGAGCCAAGAGACCAGTCATGGGATGCGCTGGCATCATGAGGGAGAATTCCATTGGGAAAGAAAACAAAACCCCTGGTCCAGGTTGACCTCTCTCTCCTTAGTCCGTGTCTTTATTTAGGTTCTGGCCACAAATGTGGGCCTCACCCTTCTCTATCTTGCCCATGAGAGCATCACCACAGCCCCAGCCAGGTGTCTTCCTGAAGTCTATCTGTATACCTGTCTGCAGCATGCTCTGGATTGAACAGAAGGAGGCCTGTGCCCAGCCTGACCTGAGTGCTTTTCAGGGAGCCCACACTTTCTTTCCAGATCCCCAAGGACCCGTCCATACACCGACGTACCATCTGCTCTATCACCTTTTCTAGAATTGGCCTGGGATGGACAAGAGAAAGCTTACGGGCCCCATCAACCAATCCAGTGGCTCCATCAAAACTGAAAACCAGGTCAGTGTGATGGGACCCAGTCTGGATGAAGCTGCCAAGGGGGCTCTTTGTGACCACAGCCTCCTTTCCAAATGCTCCCAAACCAGTCCTGTACTATGAGCACTTGGCTGGGATTGGAAGTCCATCCCACCAGCATACAGCCTGAAGAATCAGCTTCCTGACCCTCCCTTGGTCAGTGGCCAAGTCAAGGCCTTGAGGCCCCATCCCCCAGTCCGAGGTCAGCACTCTCGCCTCCATCCCCTACTAAATCTTTACCTCCACAGAACCAGAGCCATCGTCCACCATGTTGTGCTGGGCCGCCATCTGGGGAGACTCGTGTAACTTTTGGGCATCAAATGGAATCTGCTGGACCTTGGCCACTCTCTCAGTGACATACACCTTTCCAAAGCCTTCACTTTCATCATTCCCTCTCCAATCATTAAAGAATTGCTTGAAGATTGGTGTTTCACCTCCCTCTGGGAGAACTTGAATCTGAAACGTAAGAATAAGCAAACCACAAAGAAGGAAGAAAAAGCCCTATTCCCACCATGAAGAGCCAGAAAGGGGTTTCTGGGTAACAACAGCAGCAAAGCTGTAGGTGCTTAATGGTGAGACTGGGCTGAATCAAGCTCAGTAAACTGGGATAAGAGCCTATGATCTCTCACTATCGTTTATGAAGAACTGAAGGCCAGTTATTAGGAGGGCAGCGCAGTCCAACCTCAGCTCCTCAGGCTACACCCTAATGCTGACCCTGGCGTCACTGGGTGAGGAGTCAGCATTTGACTCCAGAGGGCAGAAGAGCCACGGAAAGCGAGCAGGGCAGTGGCGTGTTCAGACGTGACTCCGTGGGCTCCCTCCCTCCACTGATGCAGATCACGAGCTCTCCTCGCCATGGGGAAATGTCACAAGGGAGAAATCCATGCCCCAAGAGCCAACCCAGTGAGAAGGACCTTCAGACCGAGCTAGGACGGTGCTTGGGTGAAAGATGTATAATTTCATGCCAACTCCATCAAAACAGAATTCAGCTCCACAAACATTAAGCACGTACTGAACATAAGATACTGTACTAAGATTTCAGGATAAAAGGCAAAAAAGTCTTTGCCCTCAGGGAGCTTATAATCTGTCAGAGGAACATATATATATATAAATACACACACACACACACACACACACACACACACACAGAATATAGCAGACTGTATTTCCAGTGTCTGTGGCACACACTTAGAGAGGGGGGAGGGGGGCAATGTAGAGAGCTGAGAGTCTGGGGGAAGAATCCGAGAGTCTGGGGGCCTGGGGAAGGCGTCCAGAACGGGGCACACCTGAAGTGAATTGTGGAGGAAGAGGAAGAGTTAAAAGGGCAGATAATGAAGTAATAATAGCTAACATTCACATAGCGTCTAACTCTGTGCAGACAATGTGCTAAGTGATAAGAATAGAAGGAGCAAAATCAGCCCCTGCCCTCCAGGAGCTTCCAGTCTAAGGTGGAAGAGACAACAGGCAAACAACTATGGGAATGGACAGAGGAGGGAGTGAGCTGATGGGGATTGGGGTACGGCCTGGAGGCCAGGGACGGCAGGAACAGAGAGAGGGGAGTGAGGGCAATATGCCAGATCATGAAGGGCCTTGAATGCCAAACTAAGGAGTTTGGAGGGGATAGGGAACCACGGAGCTTGGGTCAGACCTGTGCCTTAAGGACATTATTTATGCAGTTCTGTGCAAAGATTGATCCAATAAGGGAGAGACCAGCATCTGTGAAGCCAGTGAGGAGGCTATTAAAAATAGCCTAGAATTGACTAAATGTGGCCACAAATCAGTGCTGGAGAAAAGGCCCTGGGCCACTGTCCCCCAGAGGAGGTGACAGGGAGTTGGACAGTCGGGGTCAACAGAAGATGGCGGTGGGATCAGGGTGAATACACATGTGCAGAATGATATGATGAGCAGAACCTGGCTGTCTGCACTTGACAAGCCCTCTCCCGGCTGTGGGGGTGGGAGAGGGCTCACACACACACACACACACACACACACACATACACACATACACACACACTCACACACGTGTGCTCTCACACACATGCACACGTGTGCTCTCACACACACACACATTCACACATTCTTGTACACAACACAGTGACACACACACACATTCTTACACTCCACACGCACATGTCCTCAGAGAAGAAGGAAATGGCCTCATCCAAGGGCTCTTGGCTAATCAAAGGGACAGATCCATCTCTGCATGACATTCAGTTCAGGGAAGGAGGCATCCCAGCCGCCATGACATGGGCTTTTGGTCTTTCCAGGTCACCCTGGTGTCAGCTTCTCCCTTCCAGGACATACGATCCTGTCTCTAAAAGGGAAGCTTTTCCCAAGCCCCCTTCTCCCTCCTTCAATGATCATGTTCTATCAATAGAACATAAGCTCCATGAGGGCAGGACTTTGGCTTTATGTCCCCAGACCAAGGACTGCAGCTCCTGGAGATTAGCAAGCCCTTCACAAATACTTATTGGGTTGGGTTGGGTTGGAGTAGAGAGCCCCGGATCCAATGAGAAGGGACAGGGTCACTATCTACCATTGTTCCAGTCCAGAAGGACCCCCAGTCCCCTCAGTCTGGAGCTTTGCAGGGAGAGCTAGAGCACCCCCCTCTGGCTGGTGTTTGCTTCTGTTCTTTTTGCACCTACTTGGGTACTGGAGGGATAATTCATTTGCTGCAGGAACTCCTCCGCTGTCTTCATGGCTGCCTTCCTCTCCTCAGGATTAGCATCTTTGCCTAAAGTATAAAGGACACAAACAATGGGCCAAGACTCAGGAGGCCAAATGATCAGAAAATGAAAAGATTCCAGTCGGTGCTCCACCAAAGTGCTCTGTGTGCATCATTTACTAATTTAAGGGCCAGAGATGAAGGCAAATGAATGTTACTGAAGTCTTGGCTTTTTAAAGATTCCTTTTGTATTTCACCTTCCCCTTTGCTTCCTCTGAGAAATCAGGGATTTAAAGTCTCAGTGGTTGAAGCTGATCCCATCCAATAAGCATGTGTTAGACAGTTTTTACATTTGAAGCACAGTGTTAAACAGTGGGGATGAATGGAAGAAGAGGAGGGAGAGAGGGATGGAAGGAGAGGAGGGGAGAGGAGGAGAAAGAAAGAATGAAAGAAAGAAAGAAAGAAAGAAAGAAGGAAAGAAAGAAAAAGAAAGAGAAAGAAAGAGGGAAAGAGGGAGGGGAGAGGAGAGGAGAAGAGGAGAAGAAAGAAAGAAAGAGAGAAAGAAAGAAAAAGAAAGAAAGAGAGAGAGAAGGAGGGGAGAGAAGGAAGGAAGGAAAGAAGGAAGAAAGGAAGGAGGAAAGAAGGAAGGAAGGAAGGAAGGAAGGAAGGAAGGAAGGAAGGAAGGAAAGAAGGAAGACATCCCTGCCTTCAAAGCTCTTACATTTGCTTACTACTATATGACCCTGGACACATCATATGCTCTTCCCAAGCTTGAGTTTCCTAATCTACAAGGTGAGAAGTTTGAACACCGTGGTCTCTGTAGTTCCTTCCCACATTAGAGCTCAGGGTCCCTGCAGAGGAGGGGACGTGATGTAACATCTGGCTCTTAAACAGACTTTACAATCGCCACAGCTGATCCTCACCATGATCTTGTGAGATAGGTAGCTCCTATGAGGACACTAATGGCGCCAGAAGGGAGGTGGCTTGCCTGGAGCCACACAGCTGATGCCTGCAGCAGGATTCAAACTCAGGGCTTCTGAACTCCAAGTTCAGACTGCATCACTTCCCCACCCAAATGGACGAGCACAGCTGTAGCAACGTGAGGAAGTGAGAGGACTGACAGCTAAGGGGATCAGGAGGGGCTTCCCGTAGGAGATGACCAATGGGCTTGCTTTGAAAAAAGCTAGAGGGTTTAAAAGGAAGAGGTGAGGAGGGAGGGCTCTCCTGGCATGGGGCAGAGCCCAGGCAAAGGCCCAGAGGAGGGATAGGCAATGTCACGTAGCACAATGAGGGCAGCTTGCCTTGTGGGAGGCTCATGGAGTCTGAAGGGGAGGAATTCACAACAGGCTGGGGAAGGCAGACAGGAGTCAGATTGTGAAGGATGCCGACAGTCACACAGAAGCGAGTTCTCCCACTGAAAGTTTCCGCGCAGGACGGTGACCGACGGCCAGATGTGCATTTGGGCGGGGGGTGGGCCCTGGGGGACACTGAGAACCTTTCATCAAAGGGAACACTTGTCTGCCCTCCGGAGATCTCCAAGGCCAACCCGCAGCGTCAGCACTGAGGACACTCACCTTTCCACACAAAAATCTGCTTCCCAGCCTTGTTGTCCAGGATAAAACATTCCTCTGACAGCAGCATTTTCTTGGAGAACGGGTTTTCTTCTGCGACTAACGACACGCTCATGGCCCCGGTGGCATCAGAAACCTAAGCCAAGAAAAGGCCCCTGGGTGAGTCCCTGCTCCAGTCTACGGAGCTGTTACTTAACTCACACACGCAGAAGCAGGCATGTGCCTAAAGCCTGAAGATCAGGAATGGTGTTCAGGGGGCTCCTCAGAGCCAACCACGCATTCTAGAGATGAGGGAGACCCAGAGAGGTAAGGGACATGCCCAGGGTCACGCAGCCAAGATGTCCGAGGTAGGATTGAAACCCAGGTCTTCCTGACTCCAGGTCCAGGGCTCTATGCACTACAGTAGGCTGCCTTTTCCCCCAGAAGAGAAGGCATGTTTTCTATTTTATGATTATTAACTAATTATAGATTTAGAGAAAACAGCTCCTGGAAACAGGGAACCTTGATCTGGGGAAGAACTTCCCTCACTGGAACCCTGAGGGGCAGGGTGTGTTTGTAGCTTTATGCCCATTTTATAGATGTACTAGTGAGGCTCATTGAGGGAAACTGATTTTCCCACACTCTCACAGTGACAGGGTCGGGATTTGAACCAGTCCTCCCTCCACTACACCACACCAGCTCTACTTTCTTTCTAGCATGTTTCCCCCAGACAAAGATGGGAGACAGGTTGGTCTTTCTCTGTCTCTCTGTCTCTGTCTCCCCCTTCCCCCTCCCTTCCTGTCTTTCTCCCTCCCTCTCTGTCTCTGTTTATCTCTCCCCCCCCCCCCCCCCGCCTCTCCTCATCTCCCTCGTCTCTGTGAGGAGGTACCAAGCACCCATCACTTTCTATGCCTTCCTGCCCTTGGTACCCCTTCCTATGGGCTTTTACAGAAATAAAATCAGATCCTATGAGAACAAAGCTGCAAAGTGAGGCAGTCCATGCATGCATGTCGGAGTGGTCTTGTCTCCTTGCCTAGGACCTGGGGAACCACATAGGGGACGGGAGGGCAGCAGCACGAGAGCAAGGAGCCAGAACCCCAGCACACACACCCTTTGGGGGTGCTTCTCCTCAGCAGGCTGCAAGTATTTATTACAGGCAGAAGTCTAGAGTTTCCTCCTCGGGCACAGTCAGGAAAATGGGAAAACAAGTGTTCTCTTACAATGGTCAGGGTTACATGTCTTTTTTAAAGGTCCTGATGCATTACTCTTTAAATTTTCTATCTTTGAGGCTTTTTCTCCTGAGGGGTCAACGAGCTGTGGGCAGAGTGGATAGGTCTGGGGCTGCTGTCCTAAGACCAGCCACGGCACGGGGGGCTCAGAGTCCTGCCAGCAGGCCAGCCCCTCGACAATGACGAAGCCTTCGTGTTCAGGGCTTAGCCAAGTGTCCAGCACACAGTTAATGCAGAACAGCTCAATCCTAAAACTATCTCTTGGTCACATCTTTATGGCTGAAAAATGCCTGTTTTTTATTTATTTTGACAAGCATCACAACACTGAAAGCAAAAGGAGGGTTAGCATGAGATCCCCTGGAAACAGACCTTGGCCATCCCAAGCCTAGGCACCCAATTTAGACTTCTGTCGGCTTTGGTGGGAGATAATCAGATGTTGCACTACTGTGTGTTTCCAGAAGAGGGAGCCCTGGCACTAGTATTAGATGCTCCCACCCCATTTCTTACTCTACTGCATGGGGGGGGGGGGGGTTCATCAAATGGAACTGTTCTCCTCAGGCCTGGGATGGGGGAGGGAGGAGCCACTCTGGCTTCCTTGTCCGAGATCGGGAAGGACAGATTCTCACTCCTCCTTCATCCATCCCCGTTCTCTTGGTCCTCCACAGTAAAGCACTTTGCAAACATAAGGTGCTATAGAAATGCTACTGGTGACAAGGATGATGATGATGATGATGATGGTGGTGCCAGGAGGCGGCCGGGGCCCAAAGCCGGGGTCCCTGGGCCACTTCCAAGGCGGAGCCGTTTCCTGCAGGCACATCCATACAACATCCCGCCACCCTTGGCTTAGGTCACGCTCCGGCGCTGGAAGGCCCTGAAAGGCCCAGAGATGAAGGACACCCAGTCCCCGCACTCACCATGTACAGCCTGGCCACTCTCCTGTTGGTGAAGTCAGCTACGATGTCGTCGTCCTCAGTTTCCATCCTCAGCTCCGTCTTCTCTCCTAAAACCTTCAAGCAGGGGAACACAAGGAAGTGAGGCTGGGCCTGGGGATACAGCCGTGCCTTGCTCAGGGACCCAACTTGTTTTTAACCCAGTAACGGGCAGTCGCAGGGCCACATTCACTGGGGAATCATCGTTTCTAGAGCACAAGATTGGGAGGAGAGAGAGTCTAAAGGAATAGAAACCCTGCCCTTGAGGCCTATAGGATGGGACCGCCCTGATCTGAATTCTGGGCCCCAGGCCCCCCGACACATGCCAGACTCACACGGATCAGATGTCTGAGACTGACAAGAGCAGCAAAGCCCAGACGAGGTCACAGGAAAGAAGTCTGGAAGGGGAGAGGAGCCCAGGACGAAACGCTGTTACTCACTGGTCAAAGTGACGTACTGTGTGTGTCATGAGTATGTATATACACATATACGGATGGAGATACACACACACACACACACACGTATACATGCACACATTTACATACATGCACAGATGGCTATTCTCATAGATGTTTGGTCTGGATCTGGGGTAGGGAACTCCCCTCTCACAAAGCCCCTCCACCAACACAGATGCTGACTGCTCAGTAACTCATCGTGCGTCTACCATAAATGTGACAGTTTACATAACATAACAGTACATAACAGTACTTGTATGTAAAGTTAATTGACTTATAAACCCAGGAAGCCGTAAGGAGCAGAAGGTGACCGTCTGACGTACGATGGATTTGTCTTCTTTTCTCCACTTTCGTTCACTTGTGCATTGGAACACTTGTCTTTGCCCATGGACGTGAGGGGCAGCAGGATAGTAGACGGACCTTGGAGCTTTGTTCACCCCAAGCTTGGGTCCTTCCTGAGCATGTCACCCCACCTCTCCTCATCTGGGAAGGGAAGGGAGGGGGCCAAGGTCCCTTCTGGCTCCAAATTCTCAATGATATAATGTCAGGGACATAATAAAAGAGTAATTACCATGAACAGTTGGGGCAGAAGCATTGTCATAAAGCTGCCCCCTCTGACATTGGCAGAGGCCTTTAACCAATCCTGCAGGAGAGGCAAAGAGCCTTTAGGGTAGCCAATGGGCCAGCCACACAGCCCCAGAAGAGACAGCTGCCCCTGGAGGGGAGGCACGCCCAGGCATAAGGGGGATTCTGCCGAGGACAGACAGAGGGGGGTCTGGCTGCAGCCAGACCCTGGGTTGGTTTTCTTGACAAGTCCCCCCTAGAGCCCCAGGAGCCCAAGGAGAGGCCCCTGAACATTCTTTCCAATCTGCTCCCGTGCCGTCTTCCCAGCCCGGCTCGCCTCCTTCACGTAGCCGCAGCTCCTGATGGCGTCTGTCAGCTCCAGCCTAACATCAAGGGACAGTACGGTTCATTTTCCCTTTATCCCTGTGGAATTGTGTGTGTGTGAAGAGCTAGAGCCAAAGGCTAAAAATGGCCCCTTCCCCAGGAGAGTGTAAGCTCCCAGAGGGCAGGGCCCATGTGGTTTGGGTGTCCGTCTCTGCAGGTAGCACAAGGCCACTCACCTAACAGCTGATTCTCAATGCTTGCTTTTGCCAGTGATTACAAACTGAGTGGATCATGGCACTGAGCCCATGAAGAGGCCATGGTGGGTCAGACCTCCTAAGCCTCGTGCGTGATGGTCACAACCAAGCTGGGGGAGGGGAGCCATCTCCAGCCCCCTTTACAAGACAAGCCACTGCAGGAGAGGCAGCGTCCAGGAGGAGGGAGGGCCAAGGCCTTCTCTGCCCTCCGCCCCGTCACATCTCAGCCCAAGGACCGTGGCCTACGTCTGAGGGAGCATGCAGATGCACCAGAGAAAAGGAGACCGGATGTCAGAGGAAGAAGTCAGTCCTGCCGCCTGGGGAAGGCCCACCTCTAAAAGACCCGACCTCTCCTGCTGTGGAGGACGAAGCTGGCAGGACGGGCACAAGCCTGGCAAAGCCTCTTCCTTTTCTTTCCAGGGCTGAGCCACGGACACTGGCTAGACTGCCGAGGCCCGGTCCCAGGGTCACAGAACTGTAGCCGGCTCAGACTTTGTCCAAGGTCACGCAGGCGTGCTGCTGCATCTCAGCTGGATGCAGACCCCCCTACTCCAAAGCCATCACACTCACTCCTGGGCCACACGTATGCCTTCCCCCACTGGCACTAGGGGCCAGCTCCTAGGTTTTCTTACGCACCGTGGGGACCACGAGAGCACATGGACAGTACAAGGAGCATTCTGGCTCCAGCTATGTATAAGACACAGCATTTAGTGCTCGCTTGGTCTTAGATTCACGGATTGCTTACAATAGTTCTATCAGTCCCCCACCACCCCCGGGTCTGCAGCCCATTGGAACTCCCAGTCCAGGGTGAGGAAGGGCAAATGGAAGAGACACCGGGTGCTGAGGCAGGGCATGTGACTAGGGCAAGGGCTGAGCTATCACAAATATTTGATCATAGGGAAGGCCCACAAAAGCGTGAGATGATAAACAGTTCTCAGGAAAGATGGAGGCTGTTCAGGGAGCCCCACCCAGTCTGAGTCTCAGGCTCCCACCCTGCCTGGGCTGCTGGAGGGGACCCCCAAGGACAGCCCCTCCTTTCACCCAGGAGGAAGCGGAGGCCCTGAAGCCACGTCAATCCACATTCCTCCCTTCCTCTTCCTCACCTGGATGTTTTCCTGTTGCTTGCTGCCTTGGGCCAGCCTAGTCAGGGACTGCCTATCAAGGCTCTGTCCTGACCCCCCAGGGCCATTTCTAGAACCTCATGTGGTCTTCCTGAGCCTTACACAGCCCTGACACACAGGGATTATCACCGCCATTTTGTAGGTGGGGAAAAGACTTTGCCAAAGTGAGTCACACAGCTACCGAGGGGTAGAACCAGGCTCTCCAACACTGCCAGCGCCCTTCCCTGGTAGCACTCCTGTGGGTTCTTCCCAGAACCGCTATTTGGGGCATGGGTCCAAATACCCATTCTTCATTCTCCAGACAGCCACCAGATCCCTGCATGGGAACCTCCTTCTCTCACCCCCTGATGCCTTTCCCATTAGAATCTTTCTTTTTGCCTGTCTTTGCATTAATGGGGCTTAGCCCAGCACCTGGCACACAGTTTACAATGTCTGTTATGATTGCTTCATGTGTGTGACCACTCTGTCACCTGGACTGTAGAACTCCTCCCCACAGAAAGCCCTCCACAGTCTGTCTGTCCCCAGTGCCCCTTTCTGGACCATGGTAACCCTTTCTCGTGCCTGTTAGGGTTTGGTGAAAGCCAAATAAAATCACTTTCTGGACAATAAACCCACGAAGTAATTAATGTTCAGGGATGTTGGTGAATGGAGGTGTGTAGGTAAGGAGAGCAGTGTTCACCTTAATGGAAGAAGAACGTGTTGGCTAGGCTGGGAGGAATTGTGAACAGGCTCAACCCCCTTGGGCCGGGGTCCTGTGGGTGGCATGGTCTGCTCTCTAAACTCCCTGGTCATCACGGTTGTGGCCCAGGGATGCCCCAAAGACCCAAAGAGCCCACACTGCTCTGTCAGAGAAGACAGACCACACTGAGTCATTTAGGCCAGGTGGACCAGGGTGCAGGGCAGAGCTACTCAACATAGCCAGAGGCTCAGCTTGGGAACCAAGATGGCATATTCCAGGGCCCAGGGCTGAGCCAGTGAAGACAGAAGCACTTTGAAAGAGGCAGGCATGGGCCTGGCAGAGGTCTACACTTTCTGAGAATTAGAGGTTTCCTAATTTGGGATAGGTTCACTGGGGGGTGGGGGGAGGTTAAGTACCAGTAGGGAATCTTGTTTTCGTAAGGATTAGACAGATAGGCTGGAATTCCCTCCAGGCGCAGAATTTGACTCCAGAAATGATCCCGGGCCGATGACCTGGATGTGGTCCGATGTGACCACGATATATCACTAGATAGCCAGGCTTTACCTAGCTTCTCTGGGGATGTGAAGTCTCTCACCTCTCCCTCAGTCACCGCCCTGGGTACAGCAGGGCGCCCCACCCTCAGCAGCAGCAGCTTCCAGCTGGTTCCCCTGGGAATGTGTGTCAAAGGCCACTTCGTGAGGGTATTCTCCTAAGGCTGATAAAAGACCTTATCAGGAAGGTCACGAGTCTCTGGTGGAACTGGGGCGTGCCAGCAGGACACACCCACTGACCTCCAGATCCAAATGGCCAGTAGTTAGGTGGGTGGTATCAGCTCAAACACCTCTTATCTCCAGGTGGGGCTGGGGTGCCTGGGAGAACACCTCAGAACTGGCCTGAATCTCATTCCTTTGGTACCCAATAAAGCTTGGGCATGCTCCAAGGTCCAGTCAGGTTGGGCTAGCTGGGAGTTGGAGGTAGAATGGAAGCCACATGAGGGTTTACCTCTGCGTCTCCAGTGTTAGCACACATCGCAAGAGCTTTAAACAACATTTACTAAAAGCATGAATGAACAAATGGATGGATGGATGGATGGATGGATGGATGGATGGATGGATGGATGGATGGATGGATGGATGG